GTAATAATGTACTGACCAAACAAAGACCTTATTATCCTTGTAAATGTTGAGTCTGCTCCATAGTCTTCCAATTTCGCACATAATTTATCCACAGAAATAGAGTCAAATGCTTTTTCTAGATCTAAAAAGGCCACATATACCTTACGTCTTTTTTTAGCAAGGTGTATGGTCAAAAGCAATATAAATATGGCCACTTTCGTCCCACTCTTCTTTACGAAAGCAAATTGTGAATTTGAAATTAAACCATTTGCCTTAGTCCATTTTTCAAACCTTTTCACAAGAACTGATGTAAATATTTTTCTCAGCATTGATATGGCAATAGGTCGGTAATTCTTTGGATCAGTATCTTCACTCTTTTTAAATATCATACGAAAATAAGCAGAATGCCACACTTCGGGCAAAAAAACTTGGTTATAAATGTAATTAAAATTCAATGCTAAAGCTTCTATCATATTTATAGGTAAACGTTTTAAAAAGCTAACTGGTATTAAATCCGGTCCCACCGCTGTCAATTCTCTTAATTTTGTAATAATCTTCACTAATTCACCTGCTACTATTGGCTGGTTCAACACCTTCTCTTTGTCTCTTTCCGTAGATAAACCTTTATCATCAAGAATTGTTAAAGCACTCGATTCACGCTTCTTAAAAAACCTATACCAGTTTTCGAAACCGATAGGATCCTGATATTCCATCTTCTTTCTCGGACGGTATTTTTTTATCACTGACCAAAAAATTTATTATTGTTTTTTTCTGATAATAATTTTCTGTTCAATTTATTGTAATAACTTCTTTTCTTGGCCTTTATAAGGTTATTGTATGTTCTCTTTGCACTGATATATTCAGTTAATCGCTCTTTCGATCTAGTTTTACGAAATAAAGTTAAATAATATTCTTTAAGTTTCTTGGCTCTGTAACAACACAAGTCGAACCATTCCTGTTTGAACTTATTTTTCATTTTAAGTGACTGTTGGATTCTTTGTGGACTTTGTTCTATAATATATTCATTACAAATATTAATCAATGTGGAATAAATTTGATCGGGCCTCATTTCTTGAATTAGGGCCGTTCTATCACCTATTTCAGCCTCAAATTTATTAGTATTGTATTTATATTTCTTTGTTTGAGTCAAAATTTCCTTACTTATTTTGTTTTTATAAATCATTACATTTGTTTTTATCATTAAGGTGACTGGAAAATGATCTGATAAATCATTATCGAATACTCTCAATTCAACACACTGATCTAATAAAGACTCAGTACAAATTATATAATCGATGACTGACGTGCCTGCTGCCGAAATGAATGTGTGTCTACCAGGATAGTCTTCTTTCATGCGTCCATTCAAAATAAATAAGTCACTCTTTTTCACCCAATTTATCAATAGCTTTCCTTTTTTGTTAATTTCATTATCATTGCTGTTTCTTAAACTATAAACAGTGGGATTAAACCCTGTATAATCAGAATCAATTTCGTTGCCAATTCTGGCATTAAAGTCCCCGAGGATAATCCATGATGTTGTAAGATGCGACCATTCTGAATAAGTCTTCTCAATTTCTTGGAATGGTGACTGCTGGGACTCATATGGAGGAGAATAGTAGACCATAATTGCAATATAACTATTGGGACTCCAATTTGTTTTAAATCCATCCACTTTAATTATGGCAAATATTAAATTAACATTAGAATGAAAATACATCCACTCTCCCAGGTGTTTCTTCACCAATAACAACAATCCACCCTTAGGTCTTCCAACTCCCAGTTTTTTTGTAGCTGGGGCCGTTAAATAGTTAAATATGGGTTGCAAGAATTCCATCTCTTTAGCAGTTAGTTCAGTAATCCAGGTTTCTTCCAAACCAATAATCTCATATTGTTTCATTAATTTTTGGAAATAAGTAGAATATAATTTTTTCCTAAGTCCTTGAGTGTTCCAATTTATAATCGTAATTTTTGGTTCTTTATCTGGTGTTAAATTTGTTTTAATAAAATTATTGCTGCTATTCTTACCAACTCTACTGTTTATTTTAGCTGCTATGTTAGTTAGTTGATTTCCACTTCTAAAAAAGAACCAGTATCCACCAAACAGTTCTCAGTTAAATTATAGGTAATTTTCTTATTGTTGTAAATTAGACAGTCATTTCGTAATAAAATCGGTCTACCCTTTTTCTTTTCCTCTATATAATATGAGATCAATTTTGCTCTTCTTTCCCTTGATTCTCGAGTGAGATCAGGCGTTATATGTAATTTACTATATAACTCATTAGAGGATTCTTTTTTATACTTATAAAACAATGATAATATTTGGTTTTTTCTCTGAATTGAACTTAGAGTGATTTTTAAAATAGTTGTGGCTACTTTCTTTATTACATAATAGTCCCTTACTTCCTCTGTCTTAAATTCGGAAATCCTCAACTCTTCTTCCATAAATCTAACTAGACTTTCTCTAATATTCATATTATCAGACAAAGGGTAACCGAATAATATCAAATTAGACTGATTTGATGTATTTATAATTTCATTTGTAAAATATTTTTGGGCTTCTAGTTTCCTATTTAGTTCCGGCAATGCTATTTCTAAATTATTAACCTTCTGTTCCATTAATCCAAGTCTAATCTTAAATTCTTTATTATCCTCATGTAGCCGGCTTATCTCTGTTTTAACTTCTAATATTAGTTCAGTTATAGCTCCATGTGAAGCTTGAATTAATTTAGTCATTTGGCGTAAACTTGAGGTAATCGGACAGTCTTCTCTCTCTATCAACTCCAAACATTCCACGAATGTAGATTCAAAATCAAAATCACTCACCTCCTCAGCTGTTTTCTCACTTTTCTCCTTCTCCCTCGAAGCAGGCATTGGCTTACGTAACATATTCTCCAAATTAGTCGGTTTAGACATCTTAACAGCATTGTTACTTCTTGTTGATGGTGGTCGACCTCTCTTCGGTGGTGAATGTGATAAAGGGCCCGGATTTTGCTCAACTCTGGCCAAAATAAGCAAATTCTGTATTATTAATAATAAATATACTTTTATCCATAGCATTTCCATCTTTTAAATTCCTATTAACTCTTGAAAACAAGCTCACACTAAAATCACTCCAACACCGATGAACGCTAGAAGCGCCCCCCCCATAAAATAAAAATATTATAAGAAACTAATTTTTAATAAATATTTTTGATTTATAAATTTGATTTAAAATGGAGAAATAAGGATGATATAGAACATCAAACATAAGTTAGTTAAAATTTCAATGATATGCATTATTGTGAATATTAATAATTTAATTATTTAGAATAGAATGACAAATTTCTGGCTAAACAAGTTTCTTGCTGAACTTGTTTAGCACACATGTTTAAAAGTGATATCAGTTAATAATAGAAATAAAATGAACATATAATTTGATTTTTATTTGTATAAATTTTGAGTTTTTCTGTTTATTTTATTTTTTAATATACCTTAATTGAAGTGAATATATCTCATTTCTTTAAATGCTACTTTTTGACTTTTAAAGCTTGTGCTTTAATTTTGTTTTAATTAAATGTGCATGGTTTGAGATACAAAAGATTTGACACTAACATTTTTAATTTAGACTAAACCATGTTGTTATATAACTTCATTAATAGTAACATGCATGTTCTTTGTCTTTTACTTCAAAGTTCTTTATATGCATATTAAATGAATATGCTTATGAGCAATTACCAGCAAATAAACCTGATCATTTATTGAAGCACTGGATCAAAGATTGTGTTTTAAAATTTTTCATTTCATGAACACTTGATTAGATTTAAAAAAAGTTCATTGGGAGGGAAAAGTAAAGTTGTATAAATGTTGTTCTTGAAATATAAATGCTAATTTAATTCTTTATTACTTTTAAAATTTTTGATAATTTTTTAAAAACATGCCTTTATAATTGGAACTTTTTCAGTTTTGGAGTTTCAGTAATCAAATAATGGAAGGTTAGTGTAGTTATCATTGTATTAATCATGGAATGTGAAAAAAATAAAGAAGACTGTTTCATATTTGTCATTATATTTTTCAAGTTCTATTAGTTAATTCATTTATTGAAAAATTTTTTAAATGAAAGAATGCATTATGAAATAGTGCATCTAATGGCATGAATTGAATTTAATAGAAAGCAAAAGATTTTAAAAATATCAAATTTATATTGTTTAGTTACTTAATTATCACTTAACTCCTTTTTAGTTATTGCTTTTCATGTATTTTATAAATATATATTTTTTATAGTTACTTTTTTGAGTTTATCATATTTAAAATTTCTAGTATAGTAAAAACATGTTTAAAAATTTTTATACTTTATATATTTTTATATTTTACATAAATTTATATATTTTGTATGACTTCAAAATTATACTAGTCCTTATAAATTATACTATCATACTAGTACTATTTTATGCTGAGAATAGTAGTGAATTAAATTATGAAAGTATTATTAATTGGATACTAAGAATTTATGGGAAATTTTATTGGATTCATGATTGTTGAATTTCCAATGGTTTTGCTATAAAATATGATATTATAATAATGATATTGTTTTATCATAATATATTTGGATGCATTTTTATGTATTTTATTTTGTTTTTATTTTTATTTATTTATTTTATTATATTATTTATATCATTGTTGTTTTAGTTTATTTAGTATATTTTATTTTATTATTTATTTGTTAATTTATCTAATATTTTTGTTTTAAATTTGAATGTATAATGTTTGGATGTTCTGTCATTAGAATATTAAATTTTTAAAATATGTTCGAATTCAGTCACACCTGAAGATGGCCTATTTTATTAGGCTGAAAACATTAGTGTTTTGTTCAATAAACATTTCTCAGCAATAGAAGGTGTTTGATGTTTCATTAAGTGTTTAAAAAGGCCGAGTTTGATATTTAGTTAGTTTCAAAATAATTTTACTTTATAGTAATCAAATTAAATTTAATATTTAAGAATTTTATATGTCATAAGTTATTTATACTTTATATTTTATAATAGTATATATCAGAAAAAATGCAACAAAAGAAGTCACTTATTGGATCTGTTGTAAATTCATATGAAACCATTTTGAAACTTGCTGAACCTGATACATGTGATGAATTGGACAAAAAAATTAATGAATTGAAACAGAGATGGTCAGTTATAGATGAACAAATGAAAACATCTTTTGATTTTGAGGTAAAAGTTTAATATTATATATATTATTCAATTTAATATAAATAGCTTACATGTAATAGTAGATTTTTTCATATAATAGATTAAAATTAAGAAAACTTCAATAATCATTTTTTTCAAAATAACATATATTCTTTATAATACAATAAAATAAATCTGATAGAGAATTCATATTGACAGTAGCTAAATTTCATTTGTAAAACTGTTTTAAATTTTATTATAAAACACTTGTTATTTTATTGGTCTATTGTTTCTGTTGTAATTATAATTTTAAGGATAAATTTTTTAATAGACTAATTTAATAAATTTATACACTTTTGAAAACATATTTATTTTTAAGGGAAATATAAAGCAAGGCAATGATAAATTGCAAGAATTCTTTCAACAATTAAAAATATTAAATTCTTGGATAGAATCTACAGAAAAGATTTTGATGGAAATTGAAAATTTATCACAACAACAAAAAATTTCTGATTCAGAAATTAAAAAATATCAAGTATGTTTTTTTGTAATATTTAATTACGTTTATTTTCTCTAATTTCAGACTGTATTTTTATTTATTGAGAAAAATAAAAATACAGTAAAATCTTGATTTAATGGACTTCAGATTTAACAGACAAAATTCCTGATCCATATATCATATGTGAAAATTAATTCCTTGTTAATTTTAAAATGCTTTTTATATGTAATTAATTTAAATTAAGAATTTATTTTTTTATTTTTTTCAAATTCAATAGTCACCACTTTTAACTTCATGCTACAACAGGAGTGTCTCAATCTATCATCTGAAGATGAATAAATAGGAATGTTTTTATCAAATTAAATTTTTTTCTTTTTATAAACATTGTTAGTTTAGTTAAATACAATTAAAGTGCATTTTCAAAAAAATGTTTTTTTTTGTTTATTTTTATTTAGATAGTATAATAAAATAAAATAAAATAAAATAACTTACTGGAATGTAAATACTTAAAATAATCAAACACCTTAGTATTTCCAGCAACGAAGTATTTAATAAAATAAAAACGTTTTCTACTATATTTAATAGTCTTCTTCAGTTAAGCCACTTTAAAACAAAAACGAACGTAAAATAGAACGCAAGCAATACAACGGCTTAAAAATTTGAAATTAATTACAACAAAATAAAAATAAAATATAAAAACAAAATTAAATTACAATAAAATATTAAGAAAATTAATCGTTGTGATAAAGAATTAAATTAAATAAAGTATTAAGAAAATTAAACGTTGTGGTAAAAAGATTTCCACACGAAGGATAGACTTTCCGCATCTCTATGGTTGATGCATCCTTTGTCAATATGGGCCTTGTAAATTTCAAGTTTTTCAATATGTTTAAGTACTTGTTTGTTGGTGGAGGTCCTAATTATGGATGCTTTGTCCCAATGTACTGTACATTAATATCTTGATGTTTAGTGAAGGCTGCAAGGACGGTACTGTCCAAGTTTTTAGTAATGGAATACGTATGCTCTTTAAGCCTCTGTTTTAAAAATCTCATAGTGGCACCAACGTAAATGAGATCTGAATTAAAATGGCAGTCACTTAAAAAAATAGAATACACTCCTGTACTATTGTTACGGTTTCCTTTCTTCTTATCATTTCGTAGAATTCTATAAATCGTAGGATTACAATGATAAATAATTCTTAAATTATTCTTGTGAGATAATTTTTTAATCATTGAGTGTAGGAAAGGTACATAGTTGAGAACTACTCTTCGTCCTTGTTTCTTAGTTGTAGATTGCTTATGTGTTTGATTGCAATATTTAGCAATAAGAGCATTAATTTCACTTATACGATATTCCTGTTGTACAGCTATTGTACCTATGTAATTTAATTCTCTGTGTGTGTCAAACATACTCGTACAGGTGGTATAGCCCACTTTATCCATGATCGAAAGGCTGCATTCTTAAAATTCCAAGGATCAAAGGAATTCTTCGGTATAAAATAATAAGTAGATAGCTAGGCTTTCGATAAATATCTGTCCAAATTTCACCACATGTACAAGTGATGAACAGATCCAGAAAATTTACGTTAATGTCACTTTTTTGTTTCATTGATAAAGTCAAACCATATGGGTTGTTATTAATTTTGTTAAAAAAACGCTATTACTATTCCTCCAAATGATGAAAACATCATCAACATATCTTGCATATACAAGTATATCATTTATAAAGACGGGCAGTATATTACTTTCTAATCGTCGTAATACTAGTTCACATAATAACGAGGATATTGGGCTCCCATTGGAACCCCTCTTTCTTGTAAATATACGTTCCCTTCAAATACAAAAAACGAAGTATAACAAATTAGGTGTGCAAGCTCTAAAATGTGTTGGTGATACTTCGTTGCATTATTAATGTTAGAAAAAAGGAAGTCTCTTAGCTCACAAAAGCAAGGCGGTAATTTTATAGATGGAAATAANTATTAAATATAGTCGAAAACGTTTTTAATTTTTATTTTATTAAATACTTTGTTGCTGGAAATACTAAGGTGTTTGATTATTTTAGATAGTATATTATTAGTCTCAGAACTATTGAGTACATAAGCATTATATGTATAGAAAACTTCTCTGTGAATTAAACTTATATACTTAATATTAATTACACAAATATATCTACATAAATAAAAACAAATAAACTAATTTGTCAATTTTTTAAGACATACATTCAGAAAAACCTACTTTATTATGTAATGGACACCCCCTTGCCTGAATTAGTCTGTTAAATCAAGGTTTTATTGTAATATAATATATTTAATATTTAATAAATTCTTAGTTTTTCTTATTTGTTATAATTAATTCATTTAAAATTAATTTAAATTAAATCAAGACAATGTTTTAAATGATGAACAATTGAAATATTAAAATAGAATGGTTGTATCAAAAAGTGATAGCCAATATCATATTTCAAGAATAATGCATATCATGGCAATAAAAGAATGCAAGCATTCTTGTCTGATAGGAAAAGCCTTCTATTCATGCTGCTCACTCAATATAAGTTTTTGTCTGGTAGTGACATCTATCTACACTGCAATATGAAATGATGTCAAAGTGGTAAGTGATGACATGCTTTAATAGCATATCATAATTGAATTTCTTGTTAAGGAAGAAATTTCTGTAGCTGATTTTCATCAAAGTCTAAAACATGAATCTAGAGAAGCTTGCAGGAGTGTTACTCTTGAACTGTTTGGCATTGACCTGATATTCACCAAAGACTTAAATGTGTGAAACTTGCAAAAGTTATTCACTATGCAAGATTTGTACATTTTATTCTTTGGAGAATATCTAGTCAATGCCAGACGCTTCGTTAAATACACAAGACTGTTAACATAGACATCATAAATCAGTCCTGTAATGATTGTCCAGGAGTTGACTCCAAGAAAATCAACAAAAATAGATGATGCATTCATCAGAGTGAACAGGTAAAACAGATGAAAAAGTGAAATCAGAGCAATAGTAAGAAGAATTGGTCACCATATATTAGAAGAGGAAATGAAGAGTTTTGATAGTCCAAGATTATTTTATTTGGATACCTCAATTAGTAGATTAGTCAGAAGATTATAAACATGAACAGAGAAGTATCATCTTAAAATTTCTGGGATAGTTTGCTGTTGAGGAACAAAATTTTTTCCTCAGTATTGTGACATGAGATGAAAGTTGAATAAACCTTAAACTAAATGATAGAATATTTATTTTGGTTTTACCTTAATGCATTGCTAAGATGATGATTATTTCAATCTAAATTTAAAGGTTGTCATCTTGGAAAGAACTCATTTCTGATGAAAAAAATGGAAATGCAGTGTAATAAAAGTCAAATTTAAAATGGATATGACGTTTTATCATTTATGTGTATGTTGCTTTTTTGTTAAAATTTATTTTTAAAACTGTACTTCATAAATTCCTTTATACAGTATTAGGCTAACAGTGACTATATTATAATGCATTAATGGAATTCCCTAGTGCATATTATAAACTGAACTATTACACTAAGTGAAGTATTTTCCTATACATTGAAATATCATTTTTATATAAATTATATTAAATATCTTTGTGAAAAACTGTTTAAGATAATTTTACTTGGTTTCTTGCATCTATATCTAAAACTTACAATATTCTATACTATATTCTTTTATAAAAAAAATTGACACACAATTTTTTAAAGACTTTAATTCATTACTTATATTCTTGTTTAAAAACGTATTTCATATTCTTTTTTCTGAGAATACTGTGGTATATGGAAGCAATATTCAGATTAGCATTTCAATTTTAAAATGAAAGATTACTATGCTGTTTATTTTGAAGAGTTTTTTTGCTAATCAAAGAAATTTTAATTATACTTTCTTTGTAAAGAATAAATGAAACAAATTTTTTAATTTAATTTTTTAAATTTAAATTAATTTAAAAATACTATTTGAGAACATCACTTTTTGTTAATGTATTTTTCTATTCTGTCAAATATTTGTTCTTTATAAGAATCACTTTTGTAACCAGAAGAATAATTGATAATAATTCTTCTTATTACAAAAACAAATAAGATTGCAATGATCTCAAACTGAAGGGAGCTCCTCCTGAATTTAGAAAGATGAATCCTTTGGACAAAAGTTGGGTGTTGGTTTGAATAATATTTTAGAATAGTTTCAATAAATGACTTATAACTCACTAAAATTATAAAATTTATATCTATTTATTTATACTTAAATAAAATTTCTTTTTTTAATTTTCAGAAATTGCAAAATGAAGTAGATGAAATAAATGATAAGGTAGATCATATACGAGACATTGCTGTAAATTTGATTAGGCGAAGTAAAAAGTTTCAAGAAATTGTTGAACCTGAACTCACCAAAATAAATCAACGTTGGGAAAACATTTTATCAAAATTGAAGGTTTATATTTTACTTTGATTACTTAATAAAATTAATATTATTTCAATATTTATAGAATTAGTACATAATTTCATAATAAATATAGCTGTAAAAATTAATTCAGAAAATGAAATTTATTTTTCTGAATATATTATAATTATTTTATCTGAAATAGTGATTAATTAGAATTTAATTACTCAAAAATAAATTGCCATTTAGTAGATCAGAAATTAGTGAAGTGTCAAATAATCTAGATAAGACAAAACACATTAATAATAAATATTAAAGTAGTTCCTTCAATTAATATTCAAGAAGTCACTTTATTAATATTTATTAGCAATTTGGTGTTATCTGTTACTATGAAGTAATAACCTACTAAAGACATCAAATAAACTTATTTTAAAAGAAAAATGATTAAGATTTGCTATATATAAAGTAGTTTTTAAATGTTAAAACTATTCAAACTTTTTAAATGTTAAAACTATTCAAACTTTTTAAATTTTAAATTATATTTTTATTATACTTCCAATATTAAGTGTTTTCAGTAAAATTTCAATTTAACAAACTAGAGTGTAAATTTCAGAATTTTATAATCACACAAAAGTTAACATTTAATTTTAAATTGTTCAAAAAAATTCTGATTACTGAAACACATAAGAACTTATGAATATAGAGAAATGAAACTGTAATATTTTTAACATAATAGTTTTAATATATTCTATTAACAAGTTTGAACTAATCTTGTTAACAGAATATAAACTGATTAAAAAGTAAAATAATTATTTCATTTAAACAATTTTTTGAAAAGAAATTGCTGTTATGAACTTAATAATAATATACATAATTTTTCTGGGTTATTGTAATCTTAATATCTAGAGTGTCTCAGAACTCAAGTGATCTTTAGGAAATTATTTTGATGCTTCAACATCTTCATGATTTTGTAAAATTAGTTAATTAAGTTAATGATAAAGAACTTTAGCTATCTAAGAAATGATAAAAATCTTTCTGGATTTATTTATTTTCTTAAATATCTGAAGATGAGACTTGAAAGTAATATATATTAAATTATAAAATCCATATTAATACTAGTAAATACTTATTACTTTTCAGTGAAAAATAGAATAAATTAAAAACAAAATGAAAAAATTAAATTGAAAACATTTTATTTTATTTATTTAAGATTAATTTATTTGCATATTAGCTGAATTAAAATTTTTTCATTAACATTTCATTATTATTTAATAGCTGAAATGATAAAAAATATACAATTTTTTTTTTTTGAAAGAATAAACAGAAAGCAGATGTTGTTATTGAAATACAAAGGTCAACAGTGACACAGTTAAGAGCATCTCCTGTTCAAATCCCTAAATCTGAACCTGGAACACCATGTTTGGAAGAGTTTGAACTAAAAACTCGACAAATATGTATTCTTCTGGAAAATTGGGATAAAGAAATTAAGCAGAAATCAAATTTGACAAGCTTTCATTCCACAGATGAAATTAAAAATGTTTTAAAGGTAATTGAATTTTTGTAGTTAAGTTATAAAAAACAAATAATACTAGTATAGTAATACCTCGACTTACGCTACCCTGACTTACGCAAACCTGGAGTTACGCGATTTTCAAATTTTGTCAATTCATCTTTTGTTTGAGTGCCACGCAACTCTTGATTACTCACTCCCCCCACACTATTGTTCAGCTTACATGTTCAGACGTGTCGCGTGGAATCGTCACATAGCTACAATTTATTTTGTGTTATTTATTTCTGTGTTTGTTATATCTATGGAGACCTGAGAGACTCTATGTGATGATTTCTTGTAACTGTGAATGAATCAAAAGATGAGATAAGATTAACGAGAACATTTATTAGCTTACATACATCCAACTTGGATTTTACACAAATTGCAAAATTATACCCCGATTTACGCAAATTTGACTTATGTGATTATCACTCGGTTTCACCTATCGCGTAAGTTTGGGATATTACTGTATATTATATGCAATGTTTGATATAATAATGTTATATTTTGACAATAATAATAAAAGTTTATTTTGTTTCAGAATTTAAATGAAAATGAAGAAGAATTAAAAACAAAAATAGAACATTTACAAAGTGACTATGAAAAATTAAAACATCGTTTAGGACCGCCAGATATGTTAAAGTTACAAGATATATATTTAGCAGTAGAGAGACAATGGAATGATATACACCAAAAAATGATTTTACTGAAGCAGAAATTAACAAATCAATATAGTTTGTGGCAAAAATTACAAAAAGAATCAGAATATCTTACAACACAATTAATGCCATTTTTGCAAAGATTAGAAAGATTGCCAAGCAGTCAGCATAAAGTATTTAACTTTTATTATTTTATTATTAACTTTTAGTTTTATTATACTATATATATATTNCCTTTTATACTATTTTCCATCCAATAGCATCATTGGAAAATCATGTCACAGTTCCCAACATGAGGAGGAGGAAGACAGGCGGTCTTGTAGATAGTCAAGTGAGATATAATAATATTTTTATGAAATAATATACATAAATTTATACAATAATGTTTAAATTTATAATTGTTTCTGTGCTTTCTCATATCAGAAGTAAGATGATCTGTCTATAGATTAATTGAGATGCATTATTTATATAGCTTATTTGGACAGAAAAAGTAACTAGAAGTTAGTTAATGGAGTTAAATTTAGTTAAGTTAGTTAAAGTAACTAGAAGTTAGAAGTTAATGGATTAAATAGATTAGCTATCATAATTAGATAGAAGAAATAACTTTGCAAAATCATTGTTCATGAGAAAACTTGAGTGATCTTTCAATCTTGACATTAAAATTACCAATGGTCACTATAAACTTCATGCATAACTCTGCATCACAGATTCTGCTTCTGACAAGGAAATGCAGTGTCATAGATTATGTAGTTCTGTGATAATTAGATATTATCTTCTTTACAAATCTATCACACAAGGAAAACTAGTTTTTTTAAAGGACAATCATTTTTATTGTTTTAGACAGACTGATGAGGGGTGCATTTTGGATGCACCCCTCATCAGTCTGTTCTAGAAAACTACATTAATGTGTACTTAAAATAAATAAATAAATATATAAAAAACATAGTACAATAATTCTTAAAATAATTCAATGATGTAACTTTGTTGATGATTAAATCTGGACCACATTATCATCACCAGAAAGCAGTTCGTAGTACACATAAATAACATTCACACCACATCTTTCCGGAGTGTAAGGTTATTGTGTTTTAATGTTTTACTCATTTTTTTTTACTAAGTTTTACTCTCCATTTTTACCAATGTTTATTTTATTTACACTAATTTTTTACATTCTGGTTTTAATAGTATACAAAGTTTTAATTTTTATATATTATTTTATACATTTATGTAATTTATACTATCATTCGTTTTTATTTTAAACTCATCCAGGTGACTACAATTCATGTTAATTTGGATACTTTTTATAATCATTTCATAATATAATGTTATAATTTTTCCTTTTAGATTTTATAAATCAATAACAGTGTTTTAAATATATTTTTCTTTTTTGTTAAAAATATTGTAAACATTAACCAAGTAAGTTACATTGTTAATTTTAAAAAAAATTACTGTACTATGTTTTTTTATATATTTATTTATTACATGTACTGAACATATCAATGTACTGTTTTGTAGAACAAACTGATGAGGAGCACTGCACGAAATGCATATCTGTTGAAAACAATAAAAATGGATGTCATTTTTATTGTTTTTTAAAAAAGTAGTTTTCCTTGTATGATAGATTCATGAAGAAGATAATATCTAATTATCATAGAACTACAGAAACTGGATACAAAGCTAATACAACATTCATAGATTACATTCTAATTATTCACAACTGAAATAGCATATACTAATGGGAATGTCAATAATTTTATTCAGATCAGGAATACTTAGCTCTAGTAATGAATGCAAGGAAGAGTGATTGTCTAACTCACCTGATCTTTATTGTTATCATAGATGTCTAACTTTTTTAATTAGACAGAAAAATTTTTGTAGCAAAGTGAAATATTTGTCTCAATCGTGTCTTACTTCTGAAAGAAGTGTATTTTACACTTTGTAAATTGAGTCTTTCCTATTTCTCAAAATGAATCTTGTTTTGTATCAATATATTCACTGAGTGCAATTTTTGTTTGTCATTTTAGTCTTTGTTATTTTTTTACTGACTGCTAGTATTCAAATTATTTGATTTACTGACTTTATCAATGTAATGCAATTCCTATGGAAATCCTCTGTGAGAGATTGTTGCATAGTACTGCAAGTCACTACATAGGTATTCACAGGATCTGCAACCATTTTGTGATACAAGTTTTGACTAGGAATGGGAAAATTTCACATTACTTCTAAGAATTTGTATGTCAGTTGCTTTGCATTTAATTAATAATAATAGCAATATAGCCCAATATAATTTGGCAATCATTTGGCTTTAATATATAACTATCAGGTTTGGATATTTATACAGTAGAGCATCAATTATCCGAAAGTCAATCATCCGAAATGTCAATCATCCAAAAGAATTCCAGTCGGCAAATTTAAATTTTCGCCAGTGCTGTGGCGCTGTAATCTTTGGCTATGTCTTGGGCTACTCAAATATTTTACGTTTTTGATACTAGATTAACTTCTGAAGTATAATTTTTTATTGTTTTTATATTTTTCAATATATTTATTTTGTT